TTATTTAAGATAATGAAAAAGTATATTGCACAGTTTTTGTGGGTCAGGAATCTGGAAGCAGCTTAGCTGGGTGGTTCTGATTCTGGGTGGTTCTGGGTGGTTGACTTGATTACAGTCAAGTTGGCTGAATTGCAGTCATCTGAAGTCTGGTAGATCCACTTAAGTATTTGTAGGCAGGTTTCAGTTCCTCACCACAAAGGCCTCTCTATAGGCTGAAATGACAGCTGGCTTTTCCAACTGAGTGGTCTCTGAGAGGACCACCAATATGAAAAACACAGCGCAGTTTGTAATGTTGGAAATAACAGATCACTTCTATGATATTCAGTTGGGTCATATAAACCAGTACTGGTACAATGTGGGAGGGGTCTACATAAGAGTATGAATAACAGGAAAGCACCCTTATTGGGTGCCATCAGAGACTGGCTACCACAAAGATACACTCATATGGGTGTCAATTAGTGCCCAATATAACTAGAATGCCTTGGTTCTCATTTTTGTGATTCCTCCATCTATCTTGGGCTTCTCATACCATGGTGGCTGAGTTCCAGGAGGCAGCAAATAGAAGCTTCCAGTTCTCTTTGGTCTGAGTTTTGAAGTCTCAAATTGTCCTTCTGCTATATTCTATTTGTAGAAGCTAGTCATAGGCCATCTCAATTTCAAGGAAAGCAGCAATAAGCTCTAACTCTTGATATGAAGAGTGACATGTGTGTACAAGGAGGGGAGAAATTGTTGAGGGATATCTTTGAAGACTAGCTAACAGAAAATGAATACCCAATCTTATTTCCCTCCTGCCCTCCAACCTATGCAGAAGCTTCCCACTGGCCAATCCCAAACAGAAGTCAGAGGATATGGTCATCTATAAAATCAATCCCTAGATATCAGCCTTCTGCAAGCACAGAGAAGATTCTGAAGGAGTGAAAATAAAACTAGAAGGGCAAGTAGAAAATACCCATTGCAATCTTACATACAGAAGTTGTCCCATGCAAATAATATTTTTCAATAAATGTTGCTATTATTAAATAGGAAGTTTTCACTATCTATAAGTAACTTAGTGGACAGGATGGCTTTTATAAACAATCCTTTCCTCTTTGGTCTGGTTAATTGTAGGATCAGAAATCCTTCACCTTGAAAAATTTAACTCTATGTGGCATAAAAATGGGGAATCACATGAGTGTGGCAGACTATTCAAATTTCCATTCCCAGTTAAGAAGGATTTAGAATGAAAATATAATGTTCTTAGTGGGACTCCCCCCATAATATTTACATTGGTAACTTTTCCTTATGCTTATTAGTCTAATTTGTGTTCAGATTCACATTTTACCTCCCTGCTTGCAAGCCCCATTTAGCCTTTCAGTCTCCCCAGTTCTAATTCTGCAAACTTTGTACTACACCTCATATACTTTTAAAAAAGGACAGCTGGTCATTCATCTGTGCTTTTGGTGCTGACAGTATTTTTCATGACCATTTGAAAAACTAATGTTGTATGGATGGTTACCTGTCATCTTCAAGAATTAAAACCAAAAGTCAGCAGCATGGAATTTTGACATTCACTGCTAAAATCCAAGTAGGGAGATTGCATTTTTTTTACTCTGTTGAAGTCATCCTTCCTATGGATTTGTATGCCCCTGAAAAATTTTTCCATCATACAAAAAGCACTATTAAAGTGTTTTCATCATTTGTTATATGTCCAAACTTCCAACTTTCAAAAATCTATCTAATTGTCATCATTTTTTACCTCTTTCATTTAGCTAAATGTTTCTTATCATCACTTATAACCAAATAAGTGATGATCCAGATTGCCAATATATCCATCATTCACTAAAAAACCTCCATCAGTCAGAAGCTACAGTGTATTTTTAATATATTATTATAATACAGTATATGGTACTATTGCAGGTACCAGGTGTTTTGTAAACATTAATCTTCAAATAAACTGGTATGTCACTGCTATTCTATAAACATAAAAATGGAAATAGAGCTAATAAGTTAATTTCCCAGCATCTTGCAAAAATCAAAGAATTAGTATATACTCAATTTCTATGTCCTTGGACAACAAAATCAGACTTTTCTTAAGGAGTTATATAAGCCATTTATCAAAATATGATTCAACCTATTTTGGGGTCATTGTCAGGATCATTACTGATTACTTTTAAAATCATTTTGTCTATGAAATATAGAAGAAGTATATAAAATGTAAAAGGACAGGTTACAATGTAATAATAACATGAATACCCATATTTAAATCACTCAGGTTAAGAAATAGAATATTACCAGTTAAAATCTCTCTATTGCACCTCATTAAGTACATTTTACTTTCTCCTCCACTACCCAGAGGAAAAACCAGTATCCTAAATTTTGTATTAATCATTTCCCAAGTTACCTTTACATGAGTTTACAACCTATACATGAGTTGTAATACGACTTCTTTGTGCACAAAGTCAATAGAGCAAATGGCTAATAAATACAAATGTGTTGAATATTAGTAACACTATAGCAATCATAATGGGCTAGAACAATCTCCTAGATCTTAGTGGTTTAAACATCAAAGATTTATTTGTTGCTGGTGTTTTGTTTTCATCTTAGTTGGGGGTTGGGTAAGGAGAGTCTCTCTTCCTCACATCATCTTCCTTCAAGGGAAGGAAGTACCATGGAAGAGGGGAAAAACTTGCTCACTCACTCAAAGGTCTTAAAGCTTCCCACTTGAAAATGATACTGGTCATATACACACACTTAACTTCAAGGGAGTGGTACAATTTTAATATACACCCAGGAAGAGAATAAGAAATATCTATGAACAGTCTGAATGCTATTAATGATGACTATAAACTATTTTTAAGGTGATTGCTTCAGTTAACAAACCTACAAGACAGGATGAGAAATCTGTTGCTTCCATATTCTGCCAAGTGTGATATTGTCAGATATTAAGACTTTTCAGTCTGATAGGTATGAACTCTCTCACTGCAGTTTTAATTTGCATCTTTTTGGTTAGTAAGGAGATTGAGCATTTCACAACTAGACATATGGCTTGTATTTATACAAAATTCTTGTTTTGTAAAATTATTCTTATTATTTTGTCCATTTTTCTAGTAAGTAGTTCAAATTTTCTTCTTGTTTTTTATTCAATTATAATTAACACAGTGTTATATTAGATTCGAGTGTACAATATGATTCAACAATTCTATACATTAGTCAGTGCTCACTACGATAAATATACTAATCCCCTTTACTTATTTCACCCAACTCTATAGCCACCTTCCCTCTGATAATGACCAATTTATTTTCTATATTTAAGACTGTTACTTCATTTGTCCCTCTTTCTTTGTTTTGATTTTTAAATTCTATATGTTAATGAAATCATTTGGTGTTTATTTTTCTCTGACTTATTTCACTTAGCATAATATTCTCTAGATCCATCCATGTTGTTGCAAATGGCAAGATTTCATTCTTTTTTATGGCTGAGTAATAATGTGTGTGTGCGTGTGTGTGTGTGTGTGTGTGTGTATCTCACATATTCTTCATCCATTTATCTATCAGTGGACACTTAGGTTTCTTACATATCTTAGCTATTGTAAATTATTCTGCAATAAATGGGGGGTGCATATATCTTTTCAAATTAATGTTTTCATATTCTTTTGGTAAATACCCAGTGTGGAAATGGTGAATCATATGTTAATTCTGTTTTTATTTTTTTTTAAGATTTTACTTATTTGTTTGAGAGAGAGAAAGAATAAGAGAGAGAGAGAGCATGAGAAGGAGGAAGGTCTGAGGGAGAAGCAAACTCCCTGCTGAGCAGGGAGCTGGTGCGGGACTCAGTCCCAGGACTCCAAGATCATGACCTGAGCCAAAGGCAGTTGAGCCACCCAGGCACCCCTATTTTTAATTTTTTGAGGTACCTTCATACTGTTTCCCACAATGGCTGCACCATTTTGCACTCCTATCAATAATGCATGAGGGTACCTTTTCATCCACATCATCGACAACACTTGTTAATCTCTTGTGTGTTTTTTATTTTAGCGATCCTGACAGGTATGATGTGATAGCTCATTGTTTTGATTTGTATTTTTCTGATGATTAGTGATGTTGAGCATCTTTTCATTTGTCTATTGGCCATCTGTATGTCTTGTTTGGGAATATGTCTTTTCATGTCCTCTGCTCATTTTTTAATTGGGTTATTTGGTGGTTTTCAGTGTTGAGTTTTGTAAATTCTTTATGTATTTTGGATACTAACCATTTATTGTATATGTTATTTGCAAGTATCTTCTCCCATTCAGTTAGTTTTCTTTTTGTTTTTTTTGTTTTTTTTTTTAAAGATTTTATTTATTTATTTGACAAAGAGAGATCACAAGTAGACAGAGAGGCAGGCAGAGAGAGAGAGAGAGGGAAGCAGGCCCCCTGCTGAGCAGAGAGCCCGATGCGGGACTCGATCCCAGGACCCCGAGATCACAACGGGGTCACGACCTGAGCCGAAGGCAGCGGCTTAACCCACTGAGCCACCCAGGCGCCCCAGTTTTCTTTTTGTTTTATTGACGGTTTCCTTTATTGTGCAAAAGCTTTTTATTTTGATGGAGTCCCAATAGCTTAATTTTGCTTTTTTTCCCCTTGCCTCAGGAGACATATTCGGAAATATGAACCCATACAGAAATATGATGCATTTCTACACACTAATAATGAAATAGTGGAAAGAGAAATTAAGAAAACAATCCCAGGGATGCCTGAGTGGCTCAATTGGTTAAATGTCTGCCTTTGGCTAAGGTCATGATCCCAGGGTTCTGGGATCGAGTCCTACCTCAGGCTCCCAGCTCAATGGGAAGCCTGCTTCTCCTTCTGCCTCTGCTGCTCACCCTCCTTGTACTCTCTCTCTCTCTCACAAATAAAATAAAGCCTTTTTAAAAAATGAAGTCATTATCTTAAAAAAAAAATCCCATTTACAATTTCAGCAATAAGAATAAAATACCTAGGAATAAATTTAATCAAGGAGGTAAAAAGCCTGTACTCTAAAAACCCTAAAACACTGATGAAAGAAATTGAAGATGACATGAATAAATGGAAAGACATTCCATGCTCATGGATTGGGAGAACAAACATTGCTAAAATGTCCATCCTACCCAAAGCGACCTATAGGTTTAGTGCAATTCTGATAAAAAAAAAAAACACAGTATTTTTCACAGAACCAGAACAAATAATTGTAAAATTTGCATAAAGCCACAGAAGACTCTTAACTAGCCAAAGCAATCTTGAAGAGGACAAAAAAGGAGGTATCACAATCCCAGATTTCAAGATAAACTGCAAAGCTTAGTAATTAAAACAGTATGGCACTGGCAGAAAACAGACACATGGATCAATAGAACAGAGTTCAGAAATAAACCCATGCATGTATGGTTAATCAATCTATGACAATGAGGCAAGAATATACAATGGAAAAAAGACAGTCTCTTAAATGGTGTTGGGAAAACTGGATTGCTACATGGAAAAGAATGAAATTAGACCACCTTCTTATACCATATACAACAATAAACTCAAAATGGAATAAAGACCTAAATATGAAACCTGAAACCATAAAGTTCCTAAAAGAAAACATAGGCCATAAACTCTTTGACACCAACCACAGAAACATTTTTCCAAAAATGTTTAAATAGTGGCTTGGAGGAATATTTACATATTCTGGATGTTAATTATTTATTGGTTTTATGTGTTACAAATACTTCCTAAAACTCTCTGGCTTATGTTTTCCATCTCTTTAAAGTGTGTTTTTATGAGCAGACATTTTCTAAAATTAGGCAAATTTATTAATCCTTTATTTTATTATGTTTTTCATGTCTTATGTAAGAAATCTTCTCCTACCTGAAGAAATAAAGATATTCCACTATATTATCTCCTAAATGTTTCATAGCTTTGTCTCGTATCTATATGCATTTAATCCACCTAGAATTGGTTTTAGTGTATAGCATGATATAGAACTCCATTTTTACTTGGTTAGTTCCATATGTGTATGTATATGAGTCAGCCAGGTGGCTTTTAGTCTTCAGGGTGGGGGAGGGGCGAATGGATTTTGCCACCTAGAAGACATCTGACAATGTCTGGAGACAATTATCTTTATCACAATAGGAAAGAGGGTGCTTCTGGCATCAAGTGGGTAGAGATCAGGGTTGCCAATTTAAAAATCCTTCAATTCACTGGAGAAACCCCCTGCCCCCCAACATCAAAGAATTATCCTATCCCATTGTTAACAGTGTTGATATTGAGAAATTCTGGATTAGATTATTCCAGGGTTTATAAACAACCCCAAATCTTTCGACAATAAAGATTATTTCTCCCTCACATTCATGTCATTTGAGGATTGGCCAATGATGTATTCCCCAGCATGGATCATTGCCAATCTCATAGCAGAGGGGAAAAGGGAATGCACTCATAGCATATGTGCAGTGGTTCTACCAGAGGTGTCACATATCTCTTCCTCTCAAACTTTTTTGTACAAAGTCAGTGGCCTAAGTATCCAATGTAAGGAGTTAGGAAACAGGGCCAATTAAACCCAAACTAAATATAAGAAAATGGAGACAATTAAAAATAAGAATGAAACTCGGTGAAACAGAAAATAGTCAAACAATATAAAAAATAACTGAAAATCTGTATTTTGAAAGATCAATAAAACTGATAAATCATAGACACAAAAGAAAAAAAATAAAGACACAAATTACTAACATCAACGATGAAAGAGGGAACACCACAATAGATCCTAAAGATATTAAGAGGACAGTAGACAGGAGTGCCTAGGTGGCTCAGTCAGTTAAGTGTCTACCTTCAGCTCAGGTCATAACCCCAGAGTTCTGGGATCTATCCCAGTGTTAGACTCCCTGTTCAGTAGGGAATCTGCTTCTCCCTCTCCCTCTGCCCATCCCCCGCCCCCCACTCATGCTTGCTCTCTCTCTCTCTCTTTCTTAAATAAGTAAATAAAAATCATTAATTTAAAAAAGCAAAAACAGGACAGTAAGTAAATATTATGAACAATTTCATGTCAATAAATTCAACAACATAAACAAAATGAGCAAACTTCTTGAAATTCTAAATGTAATATAACAACAAATTTCAAAAGTCTGAACAGCTCTAGATCTCCCAAAAAAATTAATTCACAATCTTTTACAAAGAAACCTCCAGCTTTAGAGATAGATTCTACCAAACATTCAAGGATAAAAGTATGCCAACCATATAAAAACTCCTTCAGAACACTGAAAAAATAGGTATACTTCCAACATATTATATGAGGCAAGTATTACTCTGGTACTAAAACTAAAGATATTTTAGGTATCTATTACAGATATAACTGAAAGTTACAGGCCAATATAATTTATGAATATAAACACAAATATTAATATAATATTAGCAAATACATACATTATATATTTATATTCAACCTAGTAATAATTTTTTTCCTTTCTAGTTACTACTTAGTTCTTCTATGGTTGTTAACTAAGATAAAGGTAACGGAGGAGGATTTGAGGCACTCAGTTGTTATTTGTGCCTCTGTGAATGCCTGGAAAAAATGAAGTCAGAAAGGGAGGAGGTCAGGCTAGAGAATATAGATGAAGCAAGTAAAACTAGAAATAGGGAAAAGAATGGCCCAAACAGCACAAAGAAGGTGGCAATGGACATTTTGTTGACTCCTTTCTTATGCCCCCGAAAATAAATTCACCTTTTCCTCACAGATGAAATGTTAACTCTGGGGACATTATTGAGGATAAGGCACAACTGTAAAGTGTTGAGAGTTGTGTACTTGTGTTTAGGCAATTTATTATTTTAGGAATAGCAGTGGGTAGTGGTTTTGCAGTGGTTTATTGTCTTCTTTTTTAAGACCCCACTTAATTAATTGTGGTATTTAAAGACTAATATGGTTACTGATTAGAAAATTCATAAGGTATATTAGCAATTTGTTTATATGATAATCTCTCAATTTTGAAATCTCACAAACATGATAATTCAGTGCATTTCACTATTTTGACAGCATTGAAACTGATTAAAGACAATTTAGGTAATACAAACAAACACTTGGTGAAACAGACTGTCTCATTTCAGAGAACTGCAAAATGGGGTGAAAGGCAAGAAGCTTTTATTGGTTAAAGAATGAAAAACAAGAGAAAAATAGAAAATGTCTGATTGGCTGGGGCCACATACTCAACCTTGTTTAGCGTAAGAAGATCTAGAGTTGGCTTGGCATTTGGGGATTTGCTGACTGGATATACTGTGTTTTTGGTCAAGCAGAACATATATAGGGACAGAGAAGTTACATCAGTTTCAGTTTGCTTACGTGGCACTTCAGAGAGAAGCAGAAGAGGTATCATCTTGGGCCTAGAAATTTGTTTTAACAACAGTAACTGCTATTTTTGAAATTTAAATTGTGTATTAAGTATACTACCTAAAAATTTTTTTAACTTCATCTTTCATCCTTTTTAATTACAAAAGTAGTAGTAGCAACTGTGTGAATATAGTTTCTCATACTATATGGGCTATGGAACAAAACAGTAAATAGTACTTAAATCAAACCATTTAGCAAATGTGGAGGCTTGTGCATATTTAGCTTTAGGATGATTACAAGCACTGATCTTAAAATAGTAAAATAAGGGCTATCCATCATAATGTAGCTGGCTTAAATGTAGTAGAAACTTGTGGCACCTGGGTGGCTCAGTGGGTTAAGCCTCTGCTCTGCCTTCAGCTCAGGTCATGATCTCAGGGTCCTGGGATCGAGTCCCACATCAGGCTGTCTGCTTGGCAGGGAGCCTGCTTCCCCTCTCTCTCTGCCTGTCTCTCTGCTACTTGTGATCTCTCTCTCTCGCTCTGTCAAATAAAAAAAAAAAAAAATCTTAAAAAAAAAATGTAGTATGAACTTTACAAATTTGACTCTCCCTGAGTGGTTTGCATCTTCAACTGGTTCCAGATTTCTCTTTCAGAATTAAATATATTTTAAGAAAGGAGAAAGAGAAAAGGAAAAGAAAAATGATCCCAGTTTTAATCCTTTAAAAATCCCAGTTTACTAATCCTCTAAGTATTATTATCTTTTGCTAATTGGTTATTGAACAATATTTTGAAAACTGTATGCCTCCTATTATTTTTCCATAAGAGCTGAAACTCTGTATATACTTGATTTGAACTTTTGAGCTTTTAAATATTTTTATCATTTCACAGTCATGTTAATAAAATGTGTCAGTCACTAAATTTTAATACATTGGTGACCAGCAACACTTGTATTTGTGTAGTCATATTAACTTTTTTTGGTGGCATTTGCTTTAGTAAAAAGCTTTTTCTGGGATTTCTGAGTTACAAATTTATAAAGTTGTAAAATAATAAAATTATAAATGTGTAAAGCTATACATTTATAAAATAAATATTATAAAAAGAATTATACTATTGGCAGGAAAAATGTATTTTTTAAAAAATCTATTAATACCAGTTGCAACTTGTCTGTGTAAATTGGGATTTTCTTGCTACTCTGCCACCAAATAAAGAAATAAATCAGATGCTAAACCTGTTATTTACAACCTGTAATTTCAAATCTTTATATCACCAAATGGTTTAATTTTTCTCTATAATTAATTTTAAAATAAATTCTATAAATTTAATTCATATAGTAAATTTATATTACCAAAAGGTTCTTTCCTTCCATTTCATAAAAGGATTTTATATTTATTGGAAAAAGGATTCTACTTAAAATCACAACCTATATTATATATGTGTATATAGCTTAATTTTTATTTCCAGTGTTTGGATATCTGAACAGTTTTCTGTGTGTGAGGGTGGGATAGTTGAAGAATCATAATTATGATTTAATGCTGCTTACAAGGTTATAATGAAGATATTATGTTCATTTAATTGGCATTCAAATTCAAATTGAAAAATTATAGTGCTAATATTTTTCTGTATTATATCTGTGAAGAATATATAACTCAATGCCTGTCTGTTTGGACATATGCCAATAAAAGGTTGACATTCATTCACTTCAGAAGTCTTGAAGAAATCATACTA